TTGCATGAGTTGGCTGTTTGAATCCTGGGACTTATGCAGGGACGCTTGGCTCGGTCTGGGAGGGGGGACTGGACCTGCCTGGACTGAGTCTATCAGGTCTATCCCGGTCCTTGGGGGAGACCTTGATCTGGAGGAGGTGGGAATGGGGGTGGGCTGGGGGGGGGGGGGGCGAGAGGGGGAGAGCAGGGGAATCTGTGGTTATTATGTGGCACTGAATGGTGTTGTAAAATTAAAATAATAATAATAAAAAAAACACCATGACCAAATTCAACTTGGAGAGGAAATGGTTCACGTGGCTCACATTGCCACATCATAGTGCACCATCTCAACAGATTAGGGCAGGCGCTCAAGGCACAAACCAAAGACAGAAAAAGAATCAAGCAGGAGCCATGGAAAAACACTTCTTACTGAGTTGACCCCCATAGTTTCCTCAGTTTGCATTTTTATATCATCCATTACCAGAAGCCCAGGTTTTGTTCTGCCCACCTTCTGCCAGGACATCCTACATAAGATACTAATCAAGAAAATTAGTAACCAAGAAAATGTCCTATAGACTTGACTATAGGCAATTTGATGGAGTGAATCCCTTAATTGAGCTTCTTCTTTTCACATAACTCCTAAGTTCTGACAAACTGATATAAAGCTATGTAAATTTATACAATGGTCTTTCTTACTATGGTCACATCTTGAGAACATACCATATTGCAAGCATACAGTTAAAATTAGCCCAAGTGTGCAAATGAGTGGTAAAAAGAGAAGGAAAGTTTAACTTTCTTTTTAAACCTGATATCTTTATACTTCATAATGTATTTGTGGTATAATAACCAATGAAGAAAAGCTACACTTTGTGCTACATGGCAGCTTCCAGAACACACTGATACCAAAATCAGAGTGAATTTCTTAGAGTGAGCTGTGGAGATCAATGGGAAATGCATAAACATCCTGTTACAGGAAATGGGAAGACAAGAATGTTTCATAAAAAGCATGGGATAGCCCTACTGTATAAATGTGCATGTTGTTGTTTTTATGTATGTGACCAACATGGAAGATTCCACAGCCTGCCATCTTACATAGCAGAATTCTAACAGCATTTGCCAGCAAATGATATACCACAGAGTCTGCTGGAAGTAAATGTGACCTGAAAAGCATCATCCAAATTCTCAGGAGCTTGGCCCAAATGTCAGCTGATGATCTGGGTGTGGTGAACCATAACTTTAATCTCAGCAATGGGAGGGAGAGGCAGCCCAATCTCTGTGAGTTCTAGGTGTGACTTGTCTACATAGTGAGCTCGCAGAAAGCCAGAGGTACTCTAAAACCAGGTCTCATGAAAATAAAGAAAGGAAGAATTTAGATGACATGCACAACATGCCTTTGTTTGAGAACTCTGCTACAAACCCCAATGGTGATTGTGCTCTCTACTCTTGATCAACTTGAAACACAGTAGAGTTTCTTTGAAAGATGGAACCTCAAATGAGGGTTTACCTCCAACAGACAGGATTAATGATTGCTGTGATATAGACCAGCCTTGCATGATTGTTTCCTCTAACAGAACCCTTAGTTCTGATAGGTTAACCTTCTGAACTCTAATTGTCACTGCTTCATGCACCCATGGACTTTTGCTACCAGTGGCTCTCAATATAAGGGGGTGTAAAAAATACTACTTAGAACCCACCTGCTGATAGGTAAGTCAGAGAAGATGGTGAAGGTAATAATGTGGTGGCTTATATTTACTGTGTTATCATTAAGGACTAAACTAACAGAAAGAATCCATGAATTGAAAATTGGAGGAATTTATTTTAACTAGGACTTTTATTTTAAATATGAAATGTTTTAGAAAAATTTTCGAGACAACTGAAGGAAACTAGTCCAGGGTCTGAACCAGTTAGTAAGCATATGTTCCTACTGTCCCTAGTTTTCTCCTCATTCCCAGTCATGTTTTAGACTCAATGTTACATTTAAACTGCACCCACTTGAATTATAGCTCTGAAGCCATCCTTACCCTCACAATGTTGAAAGTTTACATGGATATCTGTAATGCTGTTATTTGGGCATTTTTTTCAAATGCTTGGATTTTATTGCCACCCAAAACTATTCTTTTTCAGTAGGAAAGATGAGTAAAGTATGGAAAACCAGCTTATCTGCTCCTTCTTAGAAAAAAAGAAATATTTTTTAAATTACCCAAATATGTCATCATGAATTTCAGATTGTCCATAAAAAAATAGCACCCTTTCATATGAAGTGAATTATAGAAATGGAATGTAAGCCACGAACATCAGCTAAAGTGTCCATGTTGACCATTACCTACAGCTTACAATCCTTGGCAGCCTTAACGGAAATTAAGCCAAAAGACATTATATTTAAATATTTTCAGAATGTAGGAAACAAGTGTAATCTATCTCAAATTAGCACAATTGTCACTGAGGGAAATTAATCTGTTTTTCTTCCTCATAAACCATAGAATAAATTGTTTTGGCCGGGTGGTGGTGGTGCACGCCTTTAATCCCAGCACTCAGGAGGCAGAGCCAGGCGGATCTCTGTGAGTTCGAGGCCAGCCTGGGCTACCAAGTGAGCTCCAGGAAAGGCGCAAAGCTAGGCAGAGAAACCCTGTCTCAAAAAACCAAAAAAAAAAAATTGTTTTGTTACTATTTTATAGTAAACACAGGGCTGTAGTAATTGTTATGTATATAATGAATTGGTTGGTTGGTTGGTTGGTTGGTTGGTTGGTTGGTTGGTTGGTTGGTTTAGTTAGTTGTTTGGTTGCTTGGTTAGTTGCTTGGTTGGTTTGAATCGTACTCTCCCAGTATAACTTTGGACTGAATTCACCATGTATATGAGACTGGCTTCAAACTTACAGATATCTGCATGCCTTTTAAATGCAGAGATTAAAAGCATATATTACAATGCCACAAGATTGTAACAGTTTCTAAAAGAATGGAATTTATCATTTTTCAAACTCCTCTGGGAAGGCCTCACCACAAAAACCTCCAATCAGTTCTCGAAGTCTACATGCCCTACCCCAAAACCCATCTGCCTGAGACCCCAGTAACTTCCTGAGTCAAAGAAACCAAAATGCCAGCTCTCATTGGACCAAGAATAATTCCTGAGACAGGGAATCAGCCAGCCCTCATTAGAACAAGAGTGGTTTTCTGAGACATAGAATCTGCCACCTCTCACTGTACCAAGAGAGGCTTCCTGAGACAAAGAATCTGTCAGCTCTGACTGGACCAAGAGCCCTGATGAGACCCAGAGTGGTTCCGTGAGTCACAGAATCAACTAGCTTAGGTTGAGACAAGAGAAATTCCCTGAGATACAGGATCTCCCAGCTCCAATTAGAACAATAGCTAAGTTTGGACCTAGAGGAGCCCCCTCGACACAGACACAATAAGCACAGAGTGGACCAATAGTAACTTGCTATGAAACAGGGACTTCTCATACCTATTAGAGGAAGAGATAGGCAGATGTCAATGCAAAAATACATACAACAACATAAAGAGCATTACAGCATCACCAGAATCTAGCCATTCTCCAACACCAAGACCTGAACATCGCAATGTAGAAGAAGCAGAAGACAGCAACTATAAAAAGAGCTTCATGAAGATGCTAGAGGCTTTTCAAGAAAAAAATGAAAATTTCACTTAGAGAAATGGAGGAAGGATTGCAACTGTTCCCTGAGACAGAGCCTGACAGCACCTGACTGGACTAAGAGGTGAGTCTTTATCCTCATACCCGAACACAGCAGCCCCTAGGCTTTGGGCCCAGGGGCACAACCCTGCGCCCCTACACTCCAACCCATTGCAGTTCCAGTTTCAGGCCAGTTGGCAGGCAGACTTCGTGCACACAGGACAGACCACCACAATGCCCCATCAGACCCTGTAACCCAAGCCCCACTTTCCACAAATCCACTCACCTTCTGAGATTGCAACTGTTCCCTGAGACAGAGCCTGCCAGCACCCAACTGGACTAAGAGGCCAGTTGGCAGGCAGACATCCTGCAGACAGGTCAGACTACCACCATCTACCACATGGTAAGACTGCAGCTACTCCCTGAGACAGAGCCCACTAGGGCCAGTTGGACTAAGAGCTGCAGTCTAAGACAAGAAGAAGTCCATCAGGATCGACTTGGGGTGCCAGATGTTGATGTAACCAACAGTCTTATTAAATAAGAAACACAGAAACAATGTAAAAGAGAAAGCCGAGAGGTCAGAGCTCAGAGCTAAAATCTCACCCTGACTAGACCAAGAGCTCCTACAGGATCAAGAGTATCAATCAGACCAAGAGAGACTCCCCCAGACACAGACACCAATTTCACCAAGTGGAGACAATATCAGAAAATGAAAAGATTTCCCATGCTCATGAATAGGTAGAATCAACATAGTAAAAATGGCAATCTAACAAAAAGCAATATACAGGTTCAATACAATCCACATCAAAATCCCAACACAATTCTTCACACACTTGAAAAAAAAATACTTAACTTTATATGGAAAAACAAAAACCTAGGATAGCTAAAAGAATCCTTTATAATAAAGAAACCCCTGGAGGCATCATGATTCCTGACCGCAGCTCTACTATAGAGCTTCAGTAATAAAAACAGCTCGGTACTGCCATAAAAACTGACATGTGCACCAAAGAAATCTAATTGAAGACCCTGATATTAATCCACACATTTATGAACATATGATTTTTGACAAAGAAGCCAAAACTGTACCGTGGAATAAAGAAAGTATCTTCAACAAATGGTGCTGGCATAACTGGATGTTAGCATGCAGAAGAATGCAAATAGATCCATATCTGTCACCATGCACAAAACTCAAGACCAAGTGGATCAAAGACCTCGACATAAATCCAAGCACACTAAACTTGATAGAAGAGAAATTACATAGTAGTCTGGAACGAATTGGCACAGGAGACTGCTTCCTAAATATAACACCAGTTGCACAGACACTGAGAATGACAATTAATAAATTGGATGTCCTGAAACTAAGAAGCTTTTGTAGAGCAAAGGACAAGGTCAATACGACCAAATGACAGCCTACAGAATGGGAAAAGATCTTCACAAACCCCACATCTGACAGAGGGCTGATCTCCAAAATATATAAAGAACTCAAAAAGCTAGACATCAAAATACTGAACAATCCAATTAAAAAATGGGCTACAGAGCTTAACAGAGAATTCTAAATGGAAGAATCTCAAATGACTGGAAAGCATTTTAGGAATTACTCAACAGCCTTAGTCATCAGGGAAATGCAAATCAAAACATCTCTGAGATACTCTCTAACACCTGTCAGAATGGCTAAGATAAAAAACACTGAAAACAGCTTATGT